ACAACACACCCAGCCTACCCCTTGTAAACATTACAACACACACAGCCTACCCTTGTAAACATTAAGGACACCCAGCCTACCCTTTGTAAACATTACAACACACCCTAGCCTACCCTTGTAAACATTACAACACACCCAGCCTACCCTTGTAAACATTACAACACACCTACCTACCCTTTGTAGCCCATTACAACACACACCCAGCCTACCCTTTGTAAACATTACAACACACACCCAGCCTACCCCTTGTAAACATTACAACACACCCAGCCTACCCCTTGTAAACATACAACACACCCAGCCTACCCTTGTAAAACATTACAACACACCCAGCCTACCCTTGTAAAACATTACACACAGCCTACCCTTGTAAACATTACAACACACCCAGCCTACCCTTGTAAACATTACAACACACACAGCCTACCCTTGTAAACATTACATAACACACCCAGCCTCTTACCCTTGTAAACATTACAACACACACACAGCCTACCCTTGTAAACATTACAACACACACCAGCCTACCCTTGTAAACATTACAACACACACCCAGCCTACCCTTGTAAACATTACAACACACCCAGCCTACCCCTTTGAAACATTACACACACCCAGCCTACCCTTGTAAACATTACAACACACCCAGCCTACCCTGTAAACATTACAAACACACACAGCCTACCCTTGTAAACATTACAACACACCCAGCCTACCCTTGTAAACATTACAACACACACAGCTCACCCTTGTAAACATTACAACACACCCAGCCTACCCCTTGTAAACATTACAACACACCCAGCCTACCCTTGTAAACATTACAACACACACCCAGCCTACCCTAAACATTACAACACACCCAGCCTACCCTTGTAAACATTAAGCAACATTACCACCTAGCCTTACCCTTGTAAAACATTACAACACACTCCCAGCCTACCCTGTGCAAACAACATTTTCATACCACACACCCAGCCTACCCCTTGTAAACATTAAGTACCATACCCCTAGCCTAGCCTTTAAACATTACAACACACACCCAGCCTACCCCTTGTAAACATTGGCAACACACCCAGCCTACCCTTGTAAACATTACAACACACACCCAGCCTACCCTTGTAAACATTACAACACACACAGCCTACCCTTGTAAACATTAAGGAACACACCTCAGCCTACCCTTGTAAAACATTTACAACACACACCCAGCCTACCCTTAAACATTACAACACACCCAGCCTACCCTTGTAAACATTACAACACACACAGCCTACCTTTGTAAACATTACAACACACAGCCTACCCTTGTAAACATTACAACACACACAGCCTACCCTGTAAACATTACAACACACCCAGCCTACCCTTTAAACATTACCACAACACACCAGCCTAGCCCCTTGTAAACATTACAACACACACCCAGCCTACCCTTGTAAACATTAAGCAACACACACCCAGCCTACCCCTTGTAAACATTACAACACACCCAGCCTACCCTTGTAAACATTACAACACACACAGCCTACCCTTTGTAAACATTACAACACACCCAGCCTACCCTTGTAAACATTACAACACACACCCAGCCTACCCTTGTAAACATTACAACACACACAGCCCACCCTTGTAAACATTACAACACACCTAGCCTACCCTTGTAAACATATTACAACACACACCCAGCCTACCCTTGTAAACATTACAACACACCCAGCCTACCCTTGTAAACATACAACACACAGCCTACCCTTGTAAACATACAACACACACAGCCTACCCTTGTAAACATTACAACACACACACACAGCCTACCCTTGTAAACATTACACACACCCAGCCTACTCCTTGTAAACATTACCACAACACACCCAGCCTACCCTTGTAACATACACAACACACACCCAGCCCACCCTTGTAAACATTACAACACACACCCAGCTTCCACCCTTGTAAACATTACAACACACACCCAGCCTACCCTTGTAAACATACAACACACCCAGCCTACCTTGTAAACACATTACAACACACACAGCCTACCTTCTTGTAAACATTACAACACACACAGCCTACCCTTAAACATACAACACACACCCAGCCTACCCTTGTAAACATTACAACACACCCAGCCTACCCTTGTAAACATTACAACACACCCAGCCTACCCTTGTAAACATTACAACACACCCAGCCTACTCCTGTAAAACATTAAGCAACACACACCCAGCCTACCCTTGTAAACATTACAACACACCCAGCCTACCCTTGTAAACATTACAACACACCCAGCCTACCCTTGTAAACATTACAACACACCCAGCCTACCCTTGTAAAAATAATACACACACACACACACATATATATATATACTTCCCTTATTACAAACATGAATTCAAAATACAGTATATTGACATACGCCGTCATACGGTATCAAACTCCAGGCAAACGATCGATCACTCACACACACAAAAACTTTCAATATTCAACACTTGCAATCGACATTCTCTCTATCACTTAACACTGTATACTACTATCACACTTTTGGAAGGCTACACGAGTTTCCATGGCACCAAAACCACATTATTTTCTTTACAGTCAGTTTTGTTTTTGTTTCAATGGATCGTAACACACAATGGCACCTATTACCGCGTCAATAAAATCCTGTTTATCCTCTTCAACGACCAAGGCATCACACTACTGTACTATAAATGATGGACGCTGTAATAACGCCCCAAGTTATGGTCAGCCCGGGCGAGTAATGAGAGCGGTTTTGGGTGTTACAGAATTAAGCGTTATTAGGTAATTACACTGTCATAACCATCACTTTATGCCCGCAGTATAACACCACTCACCACAGCTTAATACAAACAAGATATATTCTGTAGATTTCCTAAATAATAATCAAGGCAGAGTAGAAGTCTAAAAAAAAATTACCGGTCCAAAACGTCACTCTGAAATCCTATCGGGAATTCAACTATTTACCAAACAAACAAAAAAAGCCGCACACTGCCTCACATATCAATTAATCTCCACTCCAACACCAACTCCAGTTTTAAATCACACACACACAAGCGCACACATTGCAGAATTAACATTTTGTACTCAATACGGACGCAAAAACACTCGTACTGTATAAAAACTGGTATTCACTCGACCACATAAGCCGAGGCTACGCAACCATTCGGAATTTTGACAAATAACTCAATTTCTACACTAATAACCTAAATACGTATTAACTATCTTATTATTCTTGACTCTATAACCCATGGCCATTTCAGTATTTTGTTTTTGCTTACTAAGTGCAGGAAATAAACGTGTTCAAGAAGTGAAATCGTTTAAATAAATGATTTACACTGTGCTGGGTTAAACCACACGATGTTCTAATGAGTTCAACCTAAATACTCAAGTCTAGGATGCTTTCTAAACATAATAATTATCCTTAGATTAACCCCAGTAAAATCCGTGGCCAGCAACATTATATATTTTTTAAGTATAAATAGCGCAGCGAGAGATCAGATAAGCGTCGTTGCAAAGTCTATTCGTGGATCCGCCGTCCCTCTGCCAGTCACTCAAGATATCTGAAGCAGGATGATGTGTAGCTACTGATGGAGGTTACATGAGGCAGGAGAAACACTGTGTGGCAGGGTACTATTGAAGACAGTATTAGTAATTATTAATAACGGTATTAGTGACTGGTAACTATTGTAGTACTGCAGTTGTACCGAGGAGTAACGATAGTAGGATCAGCAGTGGTAGTAAATAGTAGTAGTAGTAGTAACGAGTAGTAATAGTGGCGGTAGTAGTAATAGCAGTAATAATAACTTTGACATTACATATACAGTACAGGTTACGTACATGTGTGTTGTATACGGTTTATTGTCAGTAATCTATCGATATAACATGTTAGTGTTTCTCCTGTTGTTGATGTATGATGATCTACGTCAGAGGCAAACACGACACGCGTTCTTGTATCAGTACTGTTCCTGTTATTATATTAATTACAGCCATTATTTGTGTATTGTGTTATATTTGTGTATTGGCAGCTCAGGGATTAGATTGAATCGTAAACGAGAAGCCATTAGCATAAATTATCTTCAAATACCCTAGTGTACAACCCAATGGGCTCTAAGAGGGAATTTGTTTAGTAATCCCGTGTGCCATTTGGACCCCCTGTGCAATATTACAAGATATGGCATAACCAAAGTCCTTGGGCATAACACTGGCAATGTTAGTAGCTAGTCGGAGTAGTAGTGGCAGTAATAATAACAGTAATAGAGGGGGTAGTAGTAGTGACTTGTACTGTAATAATAGTAGGCTACAGTAGTAATTACTAGTAGCAATAGTAACTAATTTATAAAAGTATTAATTCTAGTAACAGTAATAGGAGTCGTTCTATTAATATCTCCGAGTACAGTATTTTCAGGCCACCTTGACAACACCACAGCTGAACCAACATCAGGAGCAAACGACACGCTAATAATGAAGTGCTTTTGTGGGTTAAAACTACCACCATTCCTAGATAATTTATCGCTATTTTCGAGTTAACTTATCGCTATATTGTATTGTGATATTTTACTCTTAATTTCGTGTTACCTTATCACTAATACAAATAAGTACAAATTCGGTATTCAACGACACTTCCGGGAAGGCAATGTTTCCTGGTAAGGCTGCCTTGTTGGTAGGCAGGTCACGGGGTAAATTATTCCGCCAAGGTGGGCAAGTTCTGGGCATTACGGTTGATAATGGCTGAAGTTTGCTCTCGGATGGTCAGGCAGCGAGGGTAAAGTGGAGTATCTGAAGCGACCCCTGAGTCTTACGACCAGTTATTGGGAGACTAAAGTAGGTTAATTCAACGCTCCTGAATAAACTTAACCCACAACGGTCACGGTGACTGGTCAAATGGGCCCCAGTCTTAATGGCGAGGTTGGCGCCTATTAGGACTGAGGTTCCTTTAACCTTTGATGTCCCCTACAACTATGAGTGGCGTGACTTACCTTATGAGTTTTGGTGACGGCGTTGAGAGCGTGTACGTCATGTGCGTGGTGTCTGCCGTGGTGGAGACACAGGACACACACAGGCAGGCGGCAGGTGAGACAGTACATGGACACATGCTCCTGAGGGTGGTGGCCACACCGGCCCTCACGCTCCCGCCGCCGAGCCCTCAACAGAGCCCGGCCCTCAGCTACATTAACGAGCCAGTGGGCGGCCAGCGGCCCTCGGTCAGGGTGGCAGGAGTCCCTGCAGGGGCCGCAGTAGAACACTAGACACTGGTCGCAGAACACTTGGGCGGGGCGCGGGGCTCCCGACCCCTCACACAACTGGCAGGGCTCAGCTACCTGGTATCGCTCAAGGTGTTTGTCCACCACGGCCGCCAGGACTCGGTAGCGTGTCAGGCCCTGCGCCCCTGCTTCGTCAGTAGGGGTGGCCACCCCACACTGGGGACAGGTGATTGTGTAGACAGGCGGGGGCGGTAAAGGCTCACTGTTACCACCCACCTCTGAGCCGCCTACCAGGCTGGTCGGTCGGGAGCTGCAAGACACACCAGAGTCGGCGTCGCTCAGCACAGAAAGTTTGTCAACCTCAGAGGTTTCGTGGATATCCTCGGCAGGAGGCGCACTCCCTTCCTCCTCGTTACGGGGAACTGCCACTGCTGGTTTCTGAAGTTCTCTAGCACAAGCAAGACACATGGCATGACGACATACTAATAAAACAGGCACGTGGTAAAACCCGCCACACTGAGCACACCGTAATTCCTCCTCCATCTCGCTCACTGGCTCACCTCGCACTGTTTACACTCGCCAGTCGTTGAGGGACGCGGCCTGTACCTCCCTCAGGATGCCGGCTCTACATTTTTGGTATTTTATTTTTTCTCCCAAATTACTGTAATGTGTTATTCAATTTTGAATAAATAACACTATTTTATGTATATAGATTATAAAATATTGTATTTCATGAACATGGGCAATATTTTATGAGTATTGCCGAAAGGAAAACGGGAAAACTGGCGCGCAGTTTTGAACCAAGAAAATTGATTTTTTTTTTTGCCCTTTAAGCGAGCAAATTTTATCCTCGACCCTTTTCTTCATTCTCTTTTTTTCACATTTTTAAATTTATACAAAATATATGCTATGTTTAAAAAAAATAAAAAAATGAATAAACCAGTCTCATCTATTTCTCTGAATATTCCAATTACTGCAAAAGTTATTTTTTTTGTCAGAGTATTCTACAATGAACAGTTTCTTGATAGCACCCAAACATGTCACATTACCCATAAGTGTTTAGTTGACAACAAGGACGTTGTATACAATACACAATTACTACCATTCAACAAGTAAAATAAGTTTAATAATCATATCAATTATCTGTAATTTATTTATTGGTTATTGGCACATGGAAAAATTTATCACTCAGTTATATTTATTTTCATGTAATTCAGCCACACGATCAAGTTTTATCATTTTTATCTCAAAGAAAATATCCCAGGAAATTTCTCAAACCCTACAAACAATATTTAAAACCCGATACAACTTTGAACACACAAAAAAAATGACTTAAATATCTCAATCACTGAATTACGGATGATGTACAAACACGATGACTGATTTCCTACAATGTACTACGGTAATGGAGTCAGTATGTTATGTAATTAGAAGTACATCGATCCCTAATTACTGTACAGACTCTACCAGTACACAACGCTCACAGCTCGAGTACTGGCCTGAGAATTAATCAATCAATTAGTAAAATACTCGGCGACTTGATCAATTTTCCAAGCGGGTAGATCTCAATACCTCACCCCTACTGTACCTCACCCCTGTGCCTCCACCCTACAGTACCTCCCCCCCACACTGAGGTTCTACCAAGTCAATGTGAAATGACCTAACGAGTCCCAGTCATAAAAGGTTAAATAATTATTACTACGCTGTTATGGATAAGCTAATGCTAAATATTGTTTTTTGATGGCCATATTGTTGTGGGTGACCATGTTGTTAGTTGGTAGTGGCTATATTGTTGTGGGTGACCATGTTGTTAGTTGGTAGTGGCCATATTGTTGTTGTTACAGTTGGTAGTGGCCATGTTGTTACTGTTGGTGGTGGCCATGTTATTATAGTTGGTAGTGGCCATGTTGTTATTGTTGGTAGTGGCCATGTTGTTACTGTTGGTGGTGGCCATGTTGTATAGTTGGTGGTGGCCATGTTGTTACTGTTGGTGGTGGCCATGTTGTTACTGTTGGTGGTGGCCATGTTATTATAGTTGGTAGTGGCCATGTTGTTATTGTTGGTAGTGGCCATGTTGTTACTGTTGGTGGTGGCCATGTTGTTATAGTTGGTGGTGGCCATGTTATTACTGTTGGTAGTGGCCATGTTGTTGTTATTACTGTTGGTGGTGGTCATGTTGTTAAAGTTGGTGGTGGCCATGTTGTTACTGGTGGTGGCCATGCTGTTCATAGTGTCACTTCCTCAGCAATATTCACTCACAACAGAGTCACCACTTCAACTATTGTTATGAGTGACCAAGAATCTTTCTCCCTCAGGTCTCAGTATTACTCCTTATTCTTCTTTCTATACATTGAAGTAATGGAATAATTAAGCAACATATTTCTCAGAACCGTAAAAAATATCCCTTTATAAAATTAAAGTTTTTTGTTGGTTTCCTGGTATATAAAATAAAAACTTCTCCATATTAATAAATTATAGTTATTAATTTTTTCTTCACACAAACATAAATAAAGACATCTAGTAGACTGTAAATCCAGCCCAGAGTTGTCGGTTTTAATCCCTGTATAGACATCACATAAAGTTCTTGTAACAAAGATTTGATCTGTGGTTGTGGTACAGAACTTTGCTGGTTTGTTAGGTGTTGATGTATACCGAGAATTTCCTTTGTCGATGACGGTGCCAGCAACATGACACCTTCAGGGCAGATACTTCACCGTACTTTCTTTGGATACAGTACGTCGTTATCATCGATGTTATAAGGCTTTTCCTACAGCACAAAAGCTTGTAAGAACTGTACCAACACGCTCGGAGCTTTACAGACGGGCAAGTTTCCCAACAACTTTTCACTTTGTCCTGACATGCTGGAAGATTGTGCCTATTTAGTGAATTATCTCAATACACAATACTGTACTCTCTTGGTTCATTGTGACCAGGAACATCACTTATCTATGGTTGACAGTGTAAACAATAGAAGCAAAAACGTGTTCTTCCATCTTCACATTTTTCTTCTCCCAGAACCTTTAAAACAATATAATGTAATACTGATCTGTTAAAAGTCCATTAAAATCACTGAACAATATTATAACCTTGATTCACATTCTTGAGAAGTGAGTTAAAAATAAAAGAATGTAGTTGAACTTGCTGAAGTATGTGTGTTAAGATATGTGATTAAGAATGAAGGAAAAGAGTCACATTTCATAGGAAGGGGAGGCACTGAGAGAATAAAGTGCTATAAAACCAATTAACATCATTTCTATTTAACTTCTAAGCTTTTTATAGTTTGTAGATCGTCTATTGATTCCAGCTTTCTTTTAACACTTTTCTTTGCACTTTATAAACCTACATCACAAGGTAGTCACCCAAAAATGTCCCGTCGCTTCTCCCCCTGAACCACCAACCCAGAGATACAGACTCGTGAATTAGCAGCATTTATGGACAGAATAATGCATCAGTATCTACAGCTTTGGGTTCATGAGTTTGAATCTTGGGGTTCAGGGGGCGAAGTGACAGGGTCTTTTGTGGGTGAGTGAACTGTACCTCTTCAACCCCCTCCACAGAACCTCCACTAAAGCTCTCACTCAGTAGCCTGTCTGTTCAACCTTCTCACATCATCATCTATACAACCAAACATTTAAAATTCAAACTCACACTTCAACATTACCATCAAAATATTGGTAGAGTATATTCACCAATTACCTCTGACGAACATTATAAGTTTAGGGTTAGTTTACAGAAATCATACATAGAGTTTTGGCAATGAAGTATAATGTCATAAATTTAACACTAACAAAAATATAACATTCACAAGTGGAAATATTCAAAGGGGTAACTATTAATAAAATATCACATTAGATCATTAAGTAAGTACATTTAATTTACACAGCTAAATTTTAATCCCAGGATGAATAAACAACTCACTGATGAGTCTCTCTACCATCTGGTCTTGTGATTTTTAGAGATTTTTTTATTTTTTTTTATTGACAATACAGAAGTTAGAATGCTCAGTGGGTAAACTATTAAAAATTTTCATACTTTAATGCAGTAGAAATTCAATCCTATGCTGTATAAGATTCAGAGATTTTATTCAAACTTTCACATGCTTCAGTACAAGTCTTTAAAACGTCATCACCGTAACTGTTGCAGAGAAGGCCAATGAACTTATGACTTCAAGAGTACATACTGAATCAAGTTAACCAGACTATGTGCTGTAGAAGAGGTTAAGTCAGGCACAATAATTTGAGTTACTCTTTGATGATAGTTAACATGATCACAACTCAGCTAATGCTTAAGACAAACTTATTCAACACCCAGACACCTTACAGAGGATCAATCTCCCCCCAAAAATATTAGACAAGGAAAGGTTTAAACAAATATATTCTCTAAGGTATAGAACAGTATTGCAATTCTCTCCATATCAGAACACAAATGTCCATTATTACAAGGTGACATAAAGAGGTGTGGGTGTGTATGCATCTGTACGTGTATTGTACTGTATGTGTGTGTACTGTGTGTGTGTGTGTGTGTGTTTAAGGGAAGCTAAGACCTTTTTTCTCAAGGTGTTAGGACCATATTCAGCCATAGTCAATGTAGAGTTAAAAGGTTATCAACATATCTGAAGACTGCAGTTCTAATCTTACCATCTATCATTCTCAAGCTGTGGTTGATGGTCTTCCCCGGCCCCTTGTCAGTTTATGACAAGTACCGTACTGTATCAAGGTCTATTCCTGACTGAAATAATAAACTGGTAGGTAAAAAGCTTGGAGAAATATGGTATAAATGTGCCAAGACCTTTCTGAGGTAAAACAAAACACCCCTTACACAGGAACAATAAGCCACTGTACAGTACAACCTTCAGAGCTGACACAGTTTCTACTACATGTACAGTATATAACCAAAGCAGTAACTTAAAATTATCTACAATGAAATTTTAGTGATGAAACATTTATAAGAATATTTTTTTTTAATAAACATTTACATATTACTAAATAAATAGAAATGAGACCAGATATCATTTGACATGGTAGCAATACAAACACTTCCCTGACTGAACTAAACTGAAAAGGCTCACAAGGGCCAACTAATACCTGTACCTAAGCCCAAAGTTTCATAGTAAAACATTGGCATTGGCTAAGTTAATTAGGCTCTGTTAGGGGTAAGTTTGGCTAGGTTAATTAGGCTATGTTAGAGGTAAGTTTGACTGGTTAAGCAGGTTCAGTTTGGGTTAAGTTTGGCTAGGTTTAGGGCTAGTTGTGTTTGGTTAAGGTCATGTTACAATAAGGGTAACTTAACACACTCAGGACTTAGCTGCCCAGGTTCTGTTCTCCCACACACACTACACACAGGCATGTCAGATACAATACCTCTACATTATTAGTCATAGCATGTGTACATCCCGGGCGACGCAACAGCTTAAGTCATATGTCGCCGAATTAAAAGCTCAGTAGACTTAAAATAATGCAGGGTAAAAAACATAAATATAAATAGCATCAAACATTCATAAAAACCATTTAAACGTTAATAGATAAAACTCAAAGCTTGTGCAGAAGGCCGGCTTGGGATAGAAACATGA